GCATACTAAGTGAATGGGGCCATTTTCAACAATTTTTGTAATCATTTCGTTGGTTTTAATGTTATGTTTATGTTGTCAGTTGTTGTTGTTGTTCATTACCCCTAATGTGTTTAATTTTTCCAATTAAACCAGTAATAATTTTGCAAGTTAGACAATAGAACGGTTTTTATTTTATTACTCAAAAATGGCGCATCAAAAGAAAACAATTCAAGACAAATCATTTGTTTTGAATTGAACGGGCAATCCAACAATAATTTTTATTTGGCAAAAACCATTGGCGTACCATTTTTTCTTAAAAAATATCGAAGCCAATACTTGTACGCACGCCACTGTTAAAGCTAGACATTATTTGTGCATTGAAAAATATGCAGCTCTATTAACTTTCACTACGTACTAAATATCAGTGTAATATCTGAAGCGGTTCTGAAGATATTAATTAATTTCAATTTTTTTCCTAAAACTTCAACAACCCTAGTTTTTGTAAGGAAACATTTTTGGGCCATAGTTTATAAAGTAAACTAACATTAATTTTTCATGTAGATGCACCACCTTTAAATATTCGCATGTCATTAAGAAACACTCTGTATATATCTTTAAGCTGTTGATACATGTGAAATGTAACTAATTTGGGTTCCCAAAATTAAACACGATCATAATAAGTACTCGATTTTGAATTCGCTTGTCCTACAGCTTCATGCACATAGACTGTCAAGAACAGAAGTCAGCAGAAATCAAATAGGTATTAATTAGGCTTGCCAATGCCATTTATTTAGGCATAAACTTAAAGCCCTATTAAAACACAGAGCTTATATTTAATATGTATATCGTTTTTAATTATATATTTTTGGGATGCTTTTTGGTACTTTTCATGACAGGGTACTTTAAACCATTGACGCGTTCTATGTCATGATAAATGATCCTACAGAACCAGTATTGATTATTATTAAAGGACTATACAGGTGGTGCGTCAAAAAGTCGTTTATTGCAAATGAATGAATATGAAGAAAGACAAACCAGTTAAAATTACTATTTCAATCAGAAATTTTGTATCATCGACTCGTCTCAGTATGATCATTTTTCTTGGAATACATTTTGATTTACATAGAAACGAAATATGATCTACATTAAAGACCCGGGAAATAAAATAATTTCAGATGTAAGTTTTATGACGTATGGACTAATTAATTATTTTTATTTTGATTTTAAAAGTAAATCTCAACGTTTGCGGGACCGAACTGAACAAGAATGTCTAGTTGGCGAATTGTTCCTCAAGTGTTTTAGACAACTTATCGCATTCTGAATTAACAGATAACACTGATCAACAGCCAAAAAATATCCTAAATAAAATCAACAAATTATTACTATTTTTAATGTGCTAAAACCGGAATGAAACTTATTTTTTCAATATTAGTTCAAGTTTTAGAGATACGGTAATTATATGTGTTCCTGCTGTGACAGTGTTAATATGCTGTAATTCACAAGAATGCACGTGCTAAATTTTTATATTCGGCAAGGAAAGATGATGTAATCGGCATGATTGTGTTACGTTATACATACGTGTACATTATATTACTTTATATTAGCCATTTTTTCCTCAGTTGGCTGACAGCGTTCATGCAAGATATCTCGAAAGTGTGTAAACAATCCAGATTTTTTATTTCGGTTGTATACTAGGTGATCAAGACAAACAGTGGGCACCCCACATGTGCTTCAAGTCTGAGGAGCTGGTTAAATGGCAAAAAAACGGTCTATGCGCTTTGCTGTCCCAATGGTTTGGAGAGAGCCTACAAATCATATTAATGATTGTTACTTTTGCATGGTACCTTGTATTGGACAAGAAAAAAAATCGGTTATTCACTACCCAAACATACCATCTGCGATGAGTCCTGTGCCTCACAGTGACGAAAATCTTATTCCAAAACCCCCAGCACCTACACTTGCGAATCAGAAAACGAATCAGATCATGGCGATCGAGTGATTCGTCAGGAAGAAGATATGCCATCAACGTCAAGAGATCCTGATTTTATACCGAGCACGTCATGCCACCAACCGCACAAAATAACACATTCAGAATTAAACGATTATGTAAGAGATTTAGAACTTCCAAAATGTAAGGCAGAGTTACTTGGATCAAGACTGCAGCAGTGGAACTTGTTAGAAGACGATGTTTCGGTATGTGTTTTTCGTAAACGCCACAAAGACTTAGAACCATTTTTCAATATGGAGAATAACTTGGTTTTCTGCAGTAACATTAACGGCTTACTGGCGGCTTTAAATATAAACTATAACCCAGAAGAATGGAGATTGTTTATATACAGTTCAACATTGTGTTTAAAGGCAGTGTTATTGCATATTGGAAATATTTTACCATCTCTTCCTGTAGGGTATGCAGTTCACATGAAAGAATCATATGACAATATGAAGTACCTATTGACATGCATAAAATACGATGAGCACCAATGGCATATTTGTGGCGATTTGAAAGTTGTTGCACTTTTACTTAGGCTGCAGCTAGGCTACACAATGTTTTGCTGTTTTTTGTGTGAATGGGACAGTCGGGCAAAGGCACTTCATTACACCAGACAAAACTAGCCTGTTCGTCAATTCCTAGAGCCAGGTCAAAAAAATGTACAGCATATGCCATTAGTAGATTCGAAAAAAATTTTATTACCACCCCTGCATATCAAGTTGGGCCTAATGAAAAACTTTGTCAAGGCATTAGATAGAGATGAGTCAGCTTTTCAATACCTGCGTCTTAAATTTCCAAGACTAAGTGAGGCAAAGGTTAAATAAGGTATTTTTGGTGGGCCACAGATTCGAAATATTTTGAAAGACACACAGTTTGAAAACACTTTAACAGGTATTGAAAAAACTGCTTGGAATGATTTCCGTCTGGTGGTCACTAATTTCTTGGGAAATAGAAAAGCTGACAACTATAAAACCCTTGTCAAAAATATGCTGTCATCGTATCAAAAGATGGGCTGTAATATGTCTCTTAAGATACATTTCCTACACTCACACCTGGACTTTTTTCCTGACAATTGCGGAGCCGTAAGTGATGAGCACGGCGAACGTTTTCATCAGGATATTTCAACAATGGAAAACAGGTACCAGGGAAAGTGGAATCCTTCCATGCTTGCAGACTACTGTTGGACTCTTGGTAGAGATGCTCCAGAAACGATCCATAAAAGAACAGCAAAAAGACAGCGCATATAGTGATTCTTATAAGTATATGAATCTTGTTACTTTTTTTAATATATCCTTAAAAATAAAAAGTTTGTTTTCTAAACCGCAACAAATTTTTTTATTTCATTGTCATTTTTGGATTCAGCGCCCCAAAATTAACAAAGAAGTGTACTTTTCCCACAAGATACAATTAAAAAACTAAAATTTGTTGTCCAGTGTAATCAATCAAGAAGCAACATGTGTACAGAACCTAAAAACCCTAACGGTGCGAAGTTTCGATACCCTGCGATCTAGATCGAGCCGCAGACAAAAAGTCGGTACTTCGACCGTACAATAAACATGGTTACTATTTCTCATCACGATTTATAAATCGGATGAATAAATGCAACTAGCGCCACTGCCATGGGCAAGATACGGATTGGATAGTTTTCCTTCTGGCGACACTTGTCCAGGCCATCTTGATGTCAGATTCTCGAGTACGATACGACTACCACGAACCGCTGGCGGTGACCAATGACCTTTCACCCGCGCTATGGTGGTATTGCTTCTATTTATTCATTCGGAAATTAAGTGCTTGACAAGGAGAATTCCACGATCCGTTTTTTATGGCCTCCTTGGTTTTCATAGTTTTCTACTGTCAGCACTGTACTTTACTTTAATCTAGAACTACCCCAACCTTTCTGAAGATAGCGTATTAAGAGCAAGATAATTTTGATACTCAAACCTCTAAATATGCCCATGTCCTTGTGTATAAAAAGAAAAAATATTGTATCAGTCGCATAAAAAGAAGCAAAAATTTTACTAGCGAAAATACGAAGAAATACTGCCGGTAAGGTGAATAATCGGAAGCAAATACTCGTAGTTATGGACTTAATTATAAACTACCTAAAAACCTATTGGGTGAATGAAATAAGTAACCTGTAATTTTCTTAACAAGAATTCGTCTATATGCAAGGTTGGTCAGGCTTGTGGCGTTTGTTTTTCAATAAATCGGCTGAGTTGGCAAAAACTTTATTGGCAACAAAGACCTGCTGATTGTACCAAATTGCTGAAGCTCGTTGCTGTAGACCAGACTTCCCCAAACTTTTTTGTGTCGTAGACTCCTTGCCATGTTTTTCCGTGTTGGGTAGACCCCCTACTTACCTGATACTGATTTCCTGTAAATTTCTAACTGTGGTGAAGTTTAGGGTTAAAAACTTTGGGAATAAGTGCCCGCATCGAAAAAAAATAAGAGGGATAAAATAAAAAAAAAGTTAAAAAAAATTAAAAAAAAAGTTTTTTACTTAAAATAGTACAATAAGCGAGTTCGTTTATTAATTATAACATAAACGTATGTTCTACAATAATTTAACTTAGTTGGTTTGATTAAATTCCACTTCTTATGCATTTAAGTTATCTAAAAATAGGCAAAAAATTAACGAATTTTAGTGTGTACCTATCCTTGAATTTTCAGAATAATTAAAAAAAATATTTTCTATAATTTAATATTTTCTTTAAAAAAATCAATGCGGGCACTTATTCCCAATGCGGGCATTTATTGGTCAGACACCAATAAACATAAAATAAAATATAAATAAAATAACATAAGCAATAAGTCAATACTTTTAGTGAGAAGGATAAACCTGATGCTTTAATAATAAATTATCAACATTTGGCGTCAATTTTGTAAGGGTTAATCTTAAATCTCCTCGGCTAATGATGTCCAGTCTGTTTCTTTTTTTCGTTAGGAGATTGGTAACAGCGCTGAACCCCCTTTCCACTAGGTATGACGATGGAAAGGAAATTAAAAATTTCCTCGCTATATTCCATAATACGGGATAAGTAACGGGTATGTTGTTTTGCAACCAGAATTGCTGATATCCGTTTTTAAACTGAACCTTAAGTTCTTCGTTTGTACTTAGTTCAGTCAGTTCCTCTTGCATTATGACACTCGTTTCTTCTATGTCACCATATGGATTAATTATCCACGGTAGTATTACCATAGTCAAAATATCCTCAAACCTAGATTCAAAATCTGAAAAGAGGGCATTTAAATGTTGAACGTAAGTTGAAACATCGTCGTCCTGGCAGCTTGCCTGTAACAAGTTGGGGAACTGAGAAAATTCCCCCCGTCCAATATTTTGCTTCATTAGTTTAACTCTGGCAAGAAACGCTGATAAGATGGACTTTGTTTTAATCAAATTTAAACTGTCGCATTGTAATTGCAAACTAACCATATTAAATTTTGTAAACAAATCTGTTAAATAGGCGATGCCTGTTTTCCTCTTCATTAAATATTCTTTTAAAATTTTATCTTTAGTATCCAGAAATTCTAAAATAGTCTCAAAAAGTGCAAAAAATCTTGTCAAACATAAGCCTTTCGACAGCCAGCGTACTTCAGTGTGAAGGAGTAATTGATAAAAATGTTCGTCATTTTCTTCACACAACTGCGCAAATAATTGCGTATTCAACGCGTTGCTTCGGATTCGGTTTACTGCATCAATGACTAAATGAAGTGATTTATGCAATCTAACACTCAAATTTTTAGCAACTAAATGTTGTCGATGGATGACGCAATGTATTTCTAACACCCCTGACACATTTTGTTTTAAATAGCTTATAAATCCACGATAACGTCCAACCAAGGCAGGTGCTCCATCTGTAGCTACTGATATTATATTTGATAAAGGAATTGCTTTTTCAATGAAGTAATCCTTCAAAACATGAACTATTGATTCACCTTTAGTGTCGGTTATCAAAGTTCTTGCGAAGAGCAGTTCTTCGTAGATTTCTTGATTCATAATAAAACGAACATATGCCAATAATAATGCTGTATTATCAGGTAAAGTTGACTCGTCCAGTTGTATAGAGAAATGGGTCGTTTGCAAATAATTACATAAGAAGCATTCAATATCAGAGTTCATTTCATCAATACGTCTTTCAACAGTATTGTTGCTTAAGGGAATTCTTTTAATGATATCAGATGCAGGTTTGTGTCAAACAGTTTTTAAAACCTCTTCAACGGCTGGCAAAATTAACTTCTCTCCGATAATATGCGGTTTTCCGGATTTTGCTATAAGCAACGAGATATTGTAAGACGCCCGCAAACCATCATCATTTCTTTGTGACGTCGAAGCGCACATTCTGTCCAGTGTAGGTCTCTTCTGAAATTTATCTTCTCAGATGATCCTGCAGTTTAGATGGTTTCATAGCGCCATTGCCAAAAACTTTGTTGCATAAAAGGCACATAGGCGATTGTTTGTCCGGCAATGATGGAATGAAGCCAAATTTCAATAATCAACACTGTACTGTCTACATTTCTTTTTAGATTCGGACATGGCATTAGTCATCTGTGGGCAAAATTAAATTATTTAAATAAGACAGAAAATCCAGCAGCTGCATATTAAAGATATTTTTTGATTTTTCCGAAAACATTCCATAATTCGAACATCTTCTTGCAACAATTATCTCGAATTACGGTGATTGCACTGTAATTATATTACCGATTGCTAAAACTTTCAAAAAGAAACTGTTGAGGAGTACTCGTGTAATGTTGCATGATTGAATATTTAACTACTAATAACTAAAGTCATGATTGGCGTAATTTATCTATCTTTGCTAACTACGAGTACAAAACTAAAATTTAATAAAAAATAATGTACTTACTTTTCTCCAGCACTCTCAAACAAAATAACACTGACTCACTATAATTTGTGTGATATACTATCTGTTTATATTTTTTAAAATATTTTCTTAGCACTTTCCTTTTCAAGATTCAGGAAACGAATAAACGTATTTGTCCCACATTCGTATTTATAGAGTGACGAATTGAACAAGTCAGTGCAAGGTAGCTAAGCTCTGAGACTGCGACTCTCAGGTTTTTACAAGTTCAAAATGTATTGCGACCACAAAGCGAATACCAACATCCTACAACTTACACAATTTTATAAACATATATAATAAATTTTTTACTTCATAGTTACTTTTATAAATAATGTATATGTTTTGATATTATAAGATAGTATGATGTAAGTAAATAGGAACTATCAGTGTATGTGTTGAGATCCACTATCGTGGACCCCCATATTCATTTCATGGACCCCCAAATTATTTTTCGCTGACGTAGACCCCTTGCAGGTTGTCATAGACCCCTAGGGGTCGATATAGATCACTTTGGGAATCAATGCTGTAGACTTTGCTTCCCACACTAGAAGTGAAGTATTACGGTCCTAAAAAATTCTTCTTTTATCTTCTACGCGCAATTATTGCCAAGACTCCTTTTTGACGACCTGATTACTTTAAGGTAACATAGGGCAACCGTGAACAGCTGTTTCATGCTTACTGGATCCTTTATCTGAGGTATATATCTAGAGAAATATGACATCACAAAGTGACATCTATTACCACTGCGAGAGTGAATAACATCTGTTGGAACTGTAAAGTAATCCCAATTCGTGTTAACAGCCGAGTTACCACTGTGACCGCTTGATGCCGTCGATTCAGGCAATATAATATACGATGGTCTATTCGAAATCAAAATTGAAATTTTCAGTCGGAATTTATCTATCGCACTTTACTAGTTACATTTTTGATTTATTCAATTCGCTTTTGGTTATTGTTACTTTTAACATTTTGCCAGAACACTTGAAAATGATGAAAAATATTGAAACATTTAGTACCAGCTGCAAAGAATATATTTTTGAGAATGCTGCACAATTTGAAGGGTTTTTCTGATGGTGTTTTTGTATCATAGTGATGATGACTGATCCATTGTTTGGGATGTTGGGGTTGATTCTTGTTTTTTATAATTCAATAAATTAGATTTTCTTTTCTTCTGCAAGTCCGGATGATGAAAGCACATACAGATGGTTTCAACCATCCAGACGCATCGTTTTGTCATCGGCGTGTCCTTGATGAAAAGGAATTATATTGCTGTTTTTATTCTTAGTGTTCTTTGTGATAGTGTGATAGTTTGTAGTAATATTTTGTAGTAGATAATAAAATGATAATAACAATAAACACTATATCGAATTTCTAGGACTTCTGCAAAAACAGCTTTGTATTTTTTTAGTTTGTTTTTGTGCATCATCATAGTTCTGTATTGTGTAGTGTTACTAAGGTTTCCAATTTTAGTTTATCTTAATGTTTCTCTGAACTGGATCATGCTAGCACAAATGGCAGATAAAACAGAAACACCACTCACAAGTTATATTTTCGTGGTTTTCTGTTTATTTGCATATTCATGTCAAGTTTGTGCGTAGAAATACATTGTTTTCGGTTGAAATTATGATATTAATATACAGGGTGTCCCAGAAGTCGACGTCAAGCCGAAACCGGGTGATAGGCAAAGTCATAACAGCTATCAGAAAAATATTTAAAAAAATTTTATGTATGTGTTTTGAAAATTATAGGACTTTGAAAAAAATATAGAAATTTCACACCCTACGGCAGTCTGTCAACTCCTGTTACTACAAATATTAACTTTTTTTGGTTTTTATTTTTACAATGTAATGATGAATAATGCATCTTCAAACTGGTATCTCAACCTTAATGCCAACTTTTCTCGTTCAGGAAAAATTGCCACTTATTTCCCAACCAAGTATTCCAAAGTAAAACTTTGCTCAACTTTAACTGGCTGTACTGGAAAAAAATGTACTACGAGAGTTTGGCAAGCAACCTTAAAAGTTGGCGCATTTAATAAGGATTCCAAAATGGTATAAATAACACTTAGAAGATTACTCGTTAACATATGCACAATTTTTATTTGAAGAAAAACTGATGAAAATTTTTCAAAATTTCCTAATTAAACAGCGATTATGAAAACGCACAAGGACCCTTAAGGATAACTGTTTGCACAACAGTGGGCATCAAAATGCTGCTGATGATGATTTACCTTTACAGCAAATGCTCAAACTGTTTTCCTTCAGCCGCAATACACGCTCGACATCTTAAAGAAGATCGGGTTCCCTGTGTGTTTCTAACATTGTGCGACAAAAAGCAACTCGGGGCTCATAATCCCGGGGCAGAAGAGCTTGAACACGCTGTACGTGGTATGGATGGAGCATGTTTTTTTGCAAGATTCTATGGGATGTACTTTTGGGCACACCAGTTTTTAGTTCTATTGCACGCACTGAAGTACTCGGGTCTTCTTTGACAGCTCCTAGCACCACGTCTTCGTAAGGAAGGAAAGATCTTCCCTCACCGTGTGATTGTTTTGGTAGTTGGCCCTCTGAGAACAGTAAGCGGTGCACATTTGTGAACACTCGATGATCTGGATGACGAGCTGCATTCGGGTACCTCTCACAGTAAAGTCTCGCTGCAGCACTAGGCGTTGCATCTGCATTCCCCATAAATGAGGTGCATGTTAGCATATTCTTGTACGGTGTACACGGACATAGCGGCACTGCACAATCACACTATCAAACATAGTCTAAGGAAAGCAAATGTTGTTTTGAAGAGCAATTAAACAGTCCAAATACAAATTACAAGCGATCAACAGTCCAGTTCACGAATCCAAAATTAGTAACAGTACGAAATCAACAAGCACGAACATGTAAAGATGCGCAGTAAACGAAGGAGTACTGATCGGTATCAAAGTGTGCAATAGCAAGTAAGTGATGTACTTTATCCATACCACATACAGCGTGTTCAACCTCTCCTGCCCCGGGATTATGAGCCCCGAGTTGCTTTTTGTCTTACAATGTTAGAAAGACACAGGATTTTTTCCTCCACAGTTCTTTGAAAAAATTTTATGGTCGGATGAGACCACATTTGAGAAAGATGGGTACATGAACCTGCATAACTTACACGAGTGGCACGTAGCAAACCCACATTTGATGAGAGAAGATAAATCTCAATATCGCTTCAAGATAAACCATTGGACAGGAATTTTAAATGGTAAAATAATCGATCCGTTTGAGTCCCCAGAGACTTTGACTGCTGAAGTTTATTTGGATTTTTTGAAAAATCATGTACAAAATTTATTGGTGGACGTGCCACTGAGTATTTACAGGGACATGTGGTTTCAGCATGATGGCTGCCCAGCGCACTATGCACTCTCAGTGAGAGAGTATCTCGATCAAAACTTTCCAGGCAGATGGATAAGGCGGTCTGGTACAATACCGTGGCCAGCCCGATCACCTGATTTGAATCGTTTATATTTTTTTACTGGGGAACTGTAAAAAAATGTGTATTTCAAGCCGATTCAAAATGTAGCTGAGCTACGGCAAAGACTGTTGGAAGCAGCTGAGTTTGTTAATAACCGTGGATTCGCTCCTTAAATAACCCGATCTTTTTTAAGAAGATGTCGAGCGTGTATTGCGGCTGAAGGAAAACAGTTTGAGCATTTGCTGTAAAGGTAAATCATCATCAGCAGCATTTTGACGCCCACTGTTGTGCAAACAGTTAGGGTCCTTGTGCATTTTCATAATCGCTGTTTAATTATGAAATTTTGAAAAATTTTCATCAGTTTTTCTTCAAATAAAAATTGTGCATAAGTTAACGAGTAATCTTCTAAGTGTTATACCATTTTGGAATCCTTATTAAATGCGCCAACTTTTAAGGTTACTTACCAAACTCTCGTAGTACATTTTTTTCCAGTACAGCCAGTTAAAGTTGAGCAAAGTTTTACTTTGGAATACTTGGTTGGGAAATAAGTGGCAATTTTTCCTGAACGAGAAAAGTTGGCAGTAAGGTTGAGACATCAGTTTGAAGATGAATTATTCATCATTACATTGTAAAAATAAAATCCAAAAAAAGTTAATATTTTAATTGTAGTAACAGGAGTTGACAGACTGCCGTAGGGTGTGAAATTTCTATATTTTTTTCAAAGACCTATAATTTTCAAAACACATACATAAAATTTTTTTAAATATTTTTCTGATAGCTGTTATGACTTTGCCTATTACCCGGTTTCGGCTTGACGTCGAATTCTGAGTATATTGAATTTTAGAAAATAAATTATTAAATTATTTTTGAAAGCTTATAGTTTCTTAGTCCACCTCGTTTTTTGGGTTAGTGTCTAAGCCGAAAGATCTGTAAAGTCGATATCAGGCTTTGAAAAAATTCTTGATGATGATGATGATAAATTTGTTGATATTAAATAGTACTTGCGTTTCGCTACTTATACTTTACGTGGGAAAATATTAAACCATTCTACTTTATTGTTTTGCTTTCATTTTTGTAACCATTGTTACAATCAAGCTTTGTTTTGCGTCTTACTGTAGTGGCGCTTGGCTATTGTTAAACCGCCTGAGTTTTTGAGCTCGAAATTTTCCGAAATATGATTGATTGCTACTGTATACGTGCGAACTGATCACAGAGCAAGACATTTCAGAAATATTGCTTCGTAACCAAATTAAATTGGGCATTGATGTCTTTGGTTGTAACACACATTGGTATTAAGAGGATCCGTTTTCAAGGCATAGGCGCCCAAAAGGGGAGTGTCAGGGGGGCCTGCCCCCGCACGGGATAATACAGTTCGACCTTAAAATTTGCATATTTATACCACATTCGTAGTGCAATTTACGCCCAGACAAAACACAACATGCCCAAAAGCGAGACTATACAGGTACGTATTTTTCTCAATGGTCTTGGAATAATATAACAAAATAAGTGAATATTTTTATAGACAGAAGTGCACACACTTTTCACAATTCTCTATTCGCTGGAAGTACTTGAACCATCGTCCGAATGGTTAATATTAATTATTACAGGTTCAATTTGAATATGGATCATGTGGTCCAGATTTTAGATCTTTGATTCGATTGTATCTTGAATGTGACGATTCTGTTTGATATTTGAAGGATCATTTTATAATCACTAGTACTAAATCTAGTGCTGAAATTTTCTGAATATTTATACTGCAAAATAGATTTCGAAATAAGAAAACGAATCGTTGCGCTAAGGATTAAGAAATAACAGGAGAAAAAGTACGGGAGTATCGCCGAAGCATTTAATAGTATGAAAGGCTTAGGAACATTTATTATTTTACATTCAGTACTTTACTTTGTAAACGTCCAAAGCTACTATAAAATGTTCAAAAAGTAGTAAAATGACGTTCAGTTTTTTTTTGTTTATCCTACTATTCGTTTTTAGGAATTCGCTTCTGAAGCTCCTGGCCTATTATCAGGAGATCCTGGGGGCTATAAATTAAAGATTCTCTGTGGTCATATACAAACATAACGGCCAACGCGGCTTGGCCTACTCCAGTGAAGAAAAAGCCGAAGCATTCGCCGATTCGCTAGAATCCGAATGCAGACTCAATTACCATGAATACGAGGACGACAACCACGAAGAGGCCGTGGAAGTCGCAGCCGAAATCATGAGGAGTCGACCACCTGGCCAGGAGACGGATCACCCCTCCAGTCCAGACGAAATCCGTCTGATCATCCGCAGGTTGAAGGTCAGAAAGGCGCCGGGAAGGGACGGCATCAACAACAGGATGCTGAAGAACCTTCCCTCCAAAGGCATTGCTGCGCTCAACAACATCGCCAATGCCACTCTGAGACTGAACCACTTCCCGCGGCGGTGGCGGGAAGCCCAGGTTATAATGCTCACCAAGCCAGGCAAGGACCGGAAGTTGCCTCAGAACTACCGGCCCATCAGCCTGGTTTCCTCGATGGGCAAAGTAGCCGAAAAGGCTATCGCCGTTCGACTAGAGAAGCAGGCAGAAGAACTGCAACTTCTCCCCCCAGAGCAATTCGGCTTCAGATCCTCCCACAACACGGAACTCCAAGCGTTACGACTGACAGAAAACATCACCAGCGGCTTCAATCTCCAGGAGGCAACTGGCCTCGTCCTGCTGGACGTGGAACGAGCCTTCGATCGAGTTTGGTACGATGGACTCATCGCCAAAATGGAAGCCGCCGGAATCGATGCGAACATGTGCCAACTGATCCAGAGCTATCTAACACAAAGATGGTTCACGGTGAAGATTGGTACATGCCATTCAACAAGACGACAGCTGGAAGCAGGCGTGCCCCAGGGGTCAGCCTTAGCCTCCCTGCTCTACAACATCTATACTCACGATGTGCCGAAGACAGCTGACACAATGCTGGCCCTATATGCAGACGACACTGCTATAGCCGCCAAGCATCGACGACCCGAGATCATCCGTAGGAGATACAGGATGAACTGGACCACATCCAGGACTGGTGCGTGAAATGGAAAATCCGCATCAACGTCCAAAAGACGCAGGCAATCTTCATTCAACGAAGAAGGATTGCAAGACCTCTCGAAGCATCCATCTTCGACGAAGATATCCAGTGGAGCGACAAAGTCAAATATCTGGGGATCGTATTTGACAAGTCCCTCACCTGGAAAGCCCACATAGAAGCTGACATCGCAAAGACCAGAGCAGCCATGGCTCAACTCTACCCATTACTGGGTAGACACAGCCGGATGCCGCTAGCGACCAAGCTACGGCTGATCAAGGCCATCGCCAGACCTCAGCTCGCTTACGCCTCCGCGGTCTGGGGATACGCTGCTCCCAGCTACCGCAAGCGACTTGCTGCTCTAGAGATGAAGCTACTCCGGATCGCCACCAGTGCACCATCCTACGTAAGAAACTCAACCTTGCGTAGAGACCTGCATTGGGACACCATTCACGAGTACATGAGGAAAAAAGCGGAGAAGACCTTCCAGAAAGCTCAGGACCACCCGAACGAGCAGCTACGATTCCTCATGGATTACGATCCGGACGAGAGGCCTCGCAGAACCAGGTACCCTAGACCAAGGTCCCAGTTGGCACCCGCTAACTGGAACCTTGACTAGGAGACTAGGAGAACCCGCGGTTGCTCCCCCCCCACGGCGTGGATGCAGAGGACCAGGAACCACCGGGACCAGGACCCACCGGGACCAGGACCAACCAGGACCAGGACCCGCCACGACCAGGACCCACCAGGACCAGGACCCTTCAGGACCAGGACCAGGAACAATATATCGGTAAGAGGTCTTGAAACTCTTGATTTTTCGAAAACAAGAGTTTCAAGAGAACCTAGCAGACCCTCTATCGATGATCGCTTAACGACATCGATAGAATGTGCGAGGTAAAGGGAACCAACCCGGCGTTCCCAGAGACTGAAACACATGAGGAGACGTTGTAGCAGACCGCAGGTCACGCACAACACATGGCCTACCGAGACGCTGATGAGTCGGGCCACGCGGAGGTTAGGGTTTAGTGGGTATTAGGTGGTCTCCTCAAGACAACCTGGAGTCCCACACGTCGTAGCTCGGGCTATGGTATGGTGCGTAAACGCATTCCCCCCTCACCAAAAAAAAAAACAAAAAAAATACAAACATACTACAACTACTACACAGTTTTACCACTTGCCATATACAGGGTGTTGTGTTGGGTGTTCTCAAAGTTAAGACTTTGGACTTCCCCGTATAGGACAGGTATTAATAATTTATTCACATAGTGAATACATTTTAATCCAGAAAAGGATATCCTTGTGCGCGGAAAACAAAATAAATACATAAGAACACTGAATTAAAATTAAACGCATTTCAATTTTATTATTTTTTATTCAAAATGGCTGTACGTATGTTAGTATGTTAATATGTTGTAATTTGAAATTTCGCTCAACCATCCTTTTAGTTCCTCTTTGAACCTATTGTTATTATATTTTTTAGTCTTTGCCGGTTTGTTATTATTTAATGACTTTCTTAGGGGTAAGCGAAGTAATTTGAGACTTTTTGTTTCTAGAATTATAATCATAATACTGTACAATATATAATTTATATGCGACGGTGGTCCCAGAAGTACCCGGCCTGACCTAGAGATGGCGATAGTTGCTTGAAAAATATCATTGTATTAGAAAGTATGCAACCTATAAAGCATATCACAACATGAGTTTTCCCTTAAAAAGTAGACTACTAAATTAGTATTCACTGTAAATACTTCAAAATATCGGAGAAAAGCCAAAAATATTTAAAACCAGAGGTGTTCAAGTTACGAGCGGTAAGAGGTACGTCCGTGGACCTGTTGGCGATAGTTTCCAGAGCCGTGGGAGTAATCTTCAGCCTTTTTACCATATATTCCATTTTGTCATTTGGACATTTCGTCAATAGTGTCAAATCAAATTAAGAAACTAGTCTACAGAGTGTATAGGGTAATCCGGAAATAACCGCTGGAATAAGGGAACATGAGTCAGACTGTACGAAAGAAGAATAAAAACATGAAAGATCCTGAAGATGGGGATAATGTAAAAAAGTCTACCCCTACCGACACTCTCACCCTTATACTTAACCAATTATCAACTATGGCCAGTGACATAAAGGATATTAAGAACTCTCAATCTCAACTCAGAACTGATGTTGCTTATTGTAGAAACTTACTACAGCAACATTCGGACTCGATCTCTCGGCATGATGATTTAATAGCGGCCTGCGAAACCAACATACAAAATATCCAGGTTACTCAAACAGAGCTGTCTTCTAACATTGCTAATATTGAATCGAGACTTGCAAGATCTATGGAGACGATACACTCAGGCAACGGCGCTTCTTCTACCCCTATTGCCCCAAGCTCCCAAGCTGAGACAATGGAGTTATTTAGACGTTCCCACAATATCATTCTGAGGGGCATAGCTGAAGGTAACGATGACATAAACATAGTATCAGAGATAATTAGGCATATTGAACCATCTGCCGAAAATCACCGACTCAGCATCACTCGCCTTGGCAGAACAACTTCAAGCAATCGTTTAATTAGAGTTGTATTTACCTCACCTATTATCGTCCGCAATATTTTGCGGAAGAAAAACTCCATCCTTAGCCACCCCACGCTTCGTCACGTAAAAATCTCTGACGACAAAACCAGAGGTCAAATGCAAGAACTACAACACCTTCGCGAAGAGCTTAGACGTCGTCAAACAACAGGCGAAAGTAATATTACTATATAAAATACGTTCGTGGTAAACCTTCTATAGTACACACAGCTACCCAGGAGATCACACCTTCAAAAAACTGATAAATTCTGTGGCAAACTGGACGGTTTGTTACACTAATATACAATCTCTCTTTTCTAAGCTACTTGAACTCCAAGCATTTGTTCGAGACAATAATCCAACGTTCGTTTGTCTTACTGAAACATGGCTCCATTCCAACGTGTCCGACTCTTCCATCAATTTGCCTGGATACTATTTATACAGAATGGATTCACCACGCACTCCTGGTTTTGGTGGAGTATGCATTTATGTTCGCACGGAAATCGCGTCGGATTTCTCGGTATCTCCCTCTTTCAGTCCTTTCGATGGCATTGACAATCTATTTTTGGAATTGAGGTGCCCAAATTTCAGCTTCACGATAGGCTGCATATATCGGCCATGGCCCTGTTTGGGAGACACACACCTGTGCAGTCTCATTTCAGATCTCTTAAATAAAAACACCAACCTTTTCATAGCTGGTGACTTCAATCTACGTGACATTAGCTGGCCTATGTCAACCATTCCTGAATGCAATTCTTCTTCTGCTGCTTACATCGACTTGCTACGCAACTCTAGCATATCTCAACTTGTTGATCGTCCAACGAGATTCAGGGAAGGAGAGACGCCTAGGGCTCTGGATTTGATATTCGTTAACGACGCAGACTTTGTTTCTAATTTAGATTATTTGCCACCTTTTGGCAAGTCTGACCATTGTTCACTTTTATCTTCTCTCCAGTTCAATATAAATAGTCGTTCTACAACCGATAAGTTTAAAACCATCAAAATTGTAAACCACGATGCTCTTAACCAAGCCCTGTCTGAAGTCAACTGGCCTGCTTTGCTTAACAACCGTAGCACCCAAGACATGTGGGACACTTTCGCTCAACGAGTCCTAAGCGAAACGGCTGACAATACTGTTGAAAAGAAGGTAT